CGGCGGCTGGGGTCCGGAGGCAAGGGGGCTGCCTGAAGCCCATAGCGGGCAGCTCGGCTCTTAAACAGAGCCGAAGAGTCAGGGGAGGAGCAGAGCCGCCGCGGGAGGGGAAGTGCCCGGCCGGCATTTTCCCAGACATGTTTGGCTTTTTGGCAATTCCCCCTGGACGGGGGTTTGATTGCAGAAAAGCCGGACATGTCCGGGAAAAACCGGACGTATGGTAACCCTACACAATATCCCCTGGCAATGAGTTACACAGCTTGACTGTGCGTTGTGTGAAGAAGTACTTTCTTTTGTTTGTTTTTAACCTGCTGCCTATGAATTTCATTAGGTGACCCCTAGTTTTTTTGTTGTGTGAAGGAATTTTGGAATTTTTTTTTCATACTGTACCGGGCATTAGACTTTATAAAAAAAGTCACCCAGCTAGTGCTGTGTTTTGACCTGTGTGAAAGAGATGTTCCTCTAATCAAAAGGCATCACCAAGTCTACAGAAGAGGGAGCATCATTTCGTATTCCAGAGTAAGCAGCACCATCTAGTGGATATTCTGGGACCAACAACCAATTGGCTGCATTCATTTACTTTTTACCTGCAATGAAAAATATTGGCTACGGCGGGATTGTGCCCACTCCCCACACTTCCCTTATGTCTCCATCTTAATGTGTGTTAAAATACATGTGTTGAAATAATTCTATAGTAACTGCCTGATCTGGGATGAAATAATTGATAGGAAAACAGTCTCAGCCCAGTTCTGAGTCAAGGATCATTCTTTTTGTTTGTTTTTTTTAAGGGAACTTAATCTAATGTACTAATTAATGCTACTGACCTAACCTCCAAACATCCTTTCCCCCCTCCAGATGTTGAACAATCCAGAGAAGATAGCAGAGCAGATAAGCAAGGACCTAGCCTGGCTTTGCTCCCACCTTTTGGCACTATGGACCCAGTTCCTGGAGACAGTGACACTCCATCCAGAAGTCACAGCCTATCTTACTCAGGAGCATCACATGCTAAGGGTAATGCTAACCAATTCATTCAGCAATGGTGATAACAACCTGATAGGAAGAGATCAAAGATGCATCCAGAGTGTGCCTTAATTAGAGTTACTGTGTGAAATTCACCCCCCCACACACACACATAGAGAACCAACCCAAAGCCTATATGCCACTTAAGTGATGCCTAGGTCCTTGTGCTGGCTTTCTGCTCAGGGGGGATTTTTTTGCCTAGAAAATACCAGTTTTTAAATAATTCCTTCAACTATCAAATCCTTGCTGTCAGTTCAACAAATAGGAGCAAGTAGTGACCATGTAACCTGTCTTGTCTTCACCTGGCAGTGGTAGCCAGGTTTCCAGCTGGATAGCATCATGCCAAGAGGAAGGCATGTTGGAGCCTGGAGTGCATAGCTCTGAGAGATTCAGGAAGAGCTTCACAATCTGCAAGAGATGACGAAACAGGGAAACCAGGGTCTGCTTTTATAATTTTGTTTCAGCAACTTCATTGACTCCCGGTATAAACTACATTCCTTGGTGGAGCCTGCTAACAATAATCATTAATAAGTTGTTGTTACAATAGCACCAGAATTGTGCTAGGCACTTCTCAGACAAGTATAAAGGGAAGGTCTTTTCTTTGAGCAGTTTGCAAACTGAATTAGCTACGTATTTTAGCCCCAATACTATAAGTTGTTCTGCCTGGGCAGATCCATGTCTCTTAGACTTCAGCAGGGCTCTGTGTGAGTACAGAGGTCCTCCCATTTAGCTCGCTGGGTCAGGACCTTGGTGTGGATTTGAATTGGAGGCCTTAGTGACATGGATTACAAACAGACTGCTGTCCTATACAAGAGCTGCATTTCAGGACTGTACCTCTGACCATCCCTTGCCGCCTTATCAGTGTCCTGGCTTTTGGGTAGACCCTGGATATTGTGGGCCTAAAGTTTGGAAAACCCTCAACCACAATGGAAAAGAAGACCTGGCCCTTATAGAACACTGGTACTATACAGAAAACTGAGCACATTTTAAATATCAAAATACCAAATTACTCAGTTGTGGTAAAGGTTTGATTTCCCATGGTACCTTGATTGTCACAAAATGTGAAAATTCATCTGAAAAAACAGAATCATCACAGAGTCAAATAATTGAAAAATCTATCCTTCATAACTCCTTTAACACAGCTGCCACTGGAAATATAGTTCTGTTTCTTTTATTATCTCTTTATACATAAGCAGCCAGTACATTCCCGCTCCTTAGTATCACACACGCATTCTCACAGACATGCACACGCGCACATATTACCATTTGGCGGCTGCCTATCTGATTATGCTGAATGCTCTAAAGCCCCACTTAAGCATGTGCTTAATTTTAACATTGACGTCAGTGGGGCTACTTGCCTGCTTAGGGAAGCATGTGCTCAAATGCAGTGCTTCAGATCAGGACTTTCTTTATTATCTAACTCCTTCAGAGGGAAATGTATAGGAAGCAGGAGGTACCTTCAACATAGCACCTAAGCTAAAGAAGCAGCATGTCTAATGGCTAGAGCAGGGAACTGGGGTTCTTTGGCAAGTTACTTGACCTGTACGTGCTCAGTTTTCTTTAAAATGTGTGTGGTATTGCTTACCTGGCTACATGAAGCAGTTTGAGAGCCTCAGACATAAGGTATTATTATTATTAAACATCCTTTTTCAAGCGATGCTACCGTATTTTCCGGCGTATAAGACGACTGGGCGTATAAGACGACCCCCAACTTTTCCAGTTAAAATATAGAGTTTGGGATATATTCGCCGTATAAGACTACCCCTCTTCCAACGCACACCAAAAAAAATTAAAAAACCATCAGATTTGATTTCAATATGGTAATTTTAATTCAAATGCTTATGACATGCAGGTACTTAGCAGGAAAACTGTCACTTATAAACATAAGGCTGTTTGTCATCAAACATGTAAACATAAAACAGTGCAAGTGGATTAAACTTTTCCTAATTCACTCTAAAGCTGAAAGGAAGGATAAGACAATATTCCCATGGCAGCGGCCATGCTGTTTGTTTTCTAAGCTGTCAACCAAACTGGAACTGATGATGATAGGAGGAAGATCCTGCCCAAGTATGTGAGAAACAGTTTAGGAGACTTCAATATATTTCAAATTAAAACTGTCATG